TTGCCAGGTTATTTTCTGTGGTATAAACCAAGTGGAAAGTATTACAAGTATCCTATCCTGTGTGAATTGGATCTTACTTAAATTTAGTTTTCCAGTAGCAAGTACTGAAGGTGTTAATGAGCTCACTCTGTTTCATTTTGAAAGAAAAAATGAGATATTATTTTAAATGCAATTATGTTAGACAAGAATGTGTGAGATTAAGGAGGTGAGAGACACCTTTGTTTTCTAAATGTTTGTGGTAGTGTGTGGACATAGAATAATTATTCATATTTTGTATCTTGTGAGAACAAGAAATAAATGAGAGCATTTTATAAGCAGACTTATGTTTTAGTAGAAATCTTCATGGGTTGATTATTTTTTAATTTGAAAGTGCCTTATCAGAATGCTAATATGCAGCATTCTGTTGCAGAGAAGCATTGAAATAGTCCTTGCTAGAATATATGCACTAGTCAGAAATTCATTATTTTAATCTATTTCCAGGTGTGTCTTGTCTGCTTGGGGTTTTTTTGTTTGATGGTGATGGTAATTTTTAGCAGTTGTGTATTGGTGTTTATTACCAAGTACGCTTAAAAGACAATCTAGGCTGCATTCAGGTGGAGGTCTTGTATTTAAAATGTGTTGTATCTGTAATCTGTCAATTTACAAATCCGATTTTCAACATGTTCAGCCTCATTATAGGTGGCCAGTGGAAGGGGCAGCCGTCCTTTCCTTTCCCCTCTCCAGCCACGTGTCCTTACTGTCTCACTTGTGTGTGGTTGCACAATTGTGAGATAAGTGCAAGGAGGATGACAGAAAGTTGCTGCTGGAGCCAAGGGTGTTCTCTGGCAGCTGAAACTCTTGACTACAGATCACCTATTTTGTCAGCCTTTCTTGGTTGGTTCATTTCGAGTGTGTCAGGGGGCTGTGATAGAGACAGGAATGTAGACTTTGCTGTATTGATTCAAATCACTAATCTGTCAGCAAGCCTCTTCATTTTCATCTTTGGTTGTCTTCTCACGCATTCTCTGAAATATATTTATTTACAGGCATTTTTGACACTGATTCTGCTATCTTTCTGAAAATTTAGAATACACTGATCTGGACGTAAGAAAGATACGTCAGCTCCCTGGTCATAGTTTTGAGAGCTACTGAGCACATCAGGAGAGCAAACAAGTTCTTTGTTTCCTTACAAACATTAAGGAAGATTCACTGAATTGTCCATCCTAGTTATGTTGACAGAGGCATGGAACTGAGTGTTACGAGATCTTTGTCAGCTTTGCGTTACAGAGTACTTACTGATCTTGCCTACTAACGTCAGTGCGATGGGCTGATTGTTACAGCAGTGAATAGATGAAATACCTCTGAGAGGAAGAGCTGAGATCTCAGACATGAATTCATGGAGTTACTGTGTCTTCCTCTGCTTTGTCCCACAGTCACATTAAGAGCTCTAGCCATCATTATTGATAGATTTTTGACCATGCTGTGAAATGATTCTGAAAGCGATGCTTCGAGCTAATATGAAGTGGGAGTCTTTGCAATCTAAAATGTTTCAAGATGCGACTGTTTTCCTTTTTAATAATCTGCTCCTGAAAAGACCGCTCAGTGTGGTAGTTACTAAGTGCTTTGTTCTCCACACACTAATTAATCATTTCCTTGCAACTTTATGTTCCTGTGCAAAACATAGTATGTTGAGTGGTAGAAAATGCCAGTCATTCATAGCTGATCCTGCGTGATCATGTGAACTTCTGAGGATCTTAAGCCACGTAATCTATGTTCAAAACTAACCTAGTAGTTTTAACCAGGAAGAGTTTACCTGTCCACTTCTTTGTGAAGAGCAGAAACACACGTCTGCCTTTGGTGATAGTACTGGCTTCTGCCATCTTAAAATGACAAAAACTATAACCTGCCTTCTTTTACCAGATATAGGCATCCTTAGACTTAGGCAGTCCTTCTGTCTTGCAAGAGACATTCGTTATTTGTTTTTCTTTCTCTTTGTGGCTTAGAGAAAATACTGTCTGGGCAGAGAAGCCATGCTTGGAAGAACAGTCACTCTAGTGAGCAGAATTGATCCCTCAGTTGCATAAGGTTTAGAGACTGCTGTCAGAAGCAATCAAGTCAGCTTGAAATTCAAGAAAGCGGATGACTTTTTTTCTTCTGCTCATCTGTAATTCTGGAGTGAGCAGCCATGTTTTCTGCTAGTTAGAGCCTATGGGCCAAACGATCAAGGAGCTGTAAGGAATACCCTTTGGTCTTCAAAATTGCTTTCTTCCTATTTTTCCTTTGTTTTGAACAGCCGAACTGTTCCTTTATTCTTTGTGCCAACTTCTGACATGTTAGTTGTATATTTTCTTCTTTTCCGTGTCTGTTGAGGTTTTTTATGCTTTCCAGAGCTATATAGTTAATCTCAGTCTTGTGTTTTATGTTGGCTAAGTAAAGATGTAATGCCAAGTCCTGTGTGGCGACTGTGGCATTTTAACTGTAGATACGTAACACACATTCCAGCCAGAAGCTGCTGACCTGTTGTTTAGACAAATTCCTTTCACAAACCTTTCAAATCCGTTCACGGTAGAGAAGTAAAAGAGACAATAAACTTGAAATAATTTTCTAAACCACTGTGCATGTTACATTCATCTCTATAGCAACTACATAAATAGATCTATCCTGGAGATTAATTTGAGGATATTTTTAATGTCTCTTTAAATTCAGGTTTCTGATTGAAACTTGAATTAGCATACTTCTTCAGCCCTTTAACTTGAAGAATGCTGTTGGTTCTTAAATTGAACTGTCTTTTGAATGTGATAAGTGAATACACTGTATGGTATTTTAATATACATGCTAGAATTGGGAAGATCTGTGTGAGCAGATAACTCCTGCTAGCGCTGATGGTACAGTGATAAAATGCCTGCACATTAGCTGTCTGGAGCATCAGTCAGTCTTTTTGGGGAGTCTGTAGCCAGTAGTGAAGCTGTTCTTCCCACATCCTTTTGCCCATGAGTGTGAGAAATGAGATTGTGCTTTGCTTTTGGCTGCTTATCTATATCCAGGAGATCTTCAGAAGCCGAATTTTACAAAAATTAATTGAGTAGTTTTTCTAATCTCACTTAATGTGCATCAGCTTGTAGTAAAAGAAGGTATTTGTAGGGATGCAAATGTAGGGCATTTGTCTAAACAAAGGGGGTTTAAATAAGAGAAAACATGTATTATACATGAAAAAAAAAAATCTGGTTTATTTCATCATTTCTGTCCAGAGACAGGTTGTCAGCAATAGTAGTGGTCAAAAAGAACTCAGCTGCAGAAACTAATATTTTAGTGTATCCTTAAAAAATTCTGTTGAGATTTGTAGTTTATGTAAAGTTTGCCTTTCTTTTTTTCTCCTTTATACCAATAGTTTTGATTACTCTTGGGGGGAGGGAGAGGAGAAGGGCTGGGGAGAGGTTTGCTTCAGCGGGGTGTTGGCAAGTGGTTTAGACTCCAAATGAGATTTTCTATGTAACACCTATAATGTGGGGAAGTAAGGAGTTAGGATTCTTATTTCTGATGCTGTGATGTGAGGAATAATGATCTGTTTGATAATAGGGAAAACTTCTAACACAGAATAGCATTCTGATTTCTATTAGATTTATACATCAAAAATATGCTGTGCATGGACCGTTACTGTGCTGGCTTGAATCACAGCTGTTGACAGGTTAGTACCTTTGGTTTTGTTGCTGCACCAGCAGAGTAATGATATACAGCAAGTTTAGTTTAGCTCAGTATTGAAAACGAGAATGCTGAGGAGTCACAGCTGTTAAATCCTGTTGCTTTTACACTGAGTTGGTGCCTAGGGCACCTTTATAAACACATCTATAAAATATTTTTTATGAAAGAATCCATTGAAGTCATAGGATTGGAAGGTTGTGGCAAAGAAGAATAAAAATAATTCAAACCAGTGAGAAAAGTAGCTCTTGCGCTTCCGAAATGAGCAGATTTTTCACATGGAGATAGCTTATGAGATTAGTATTGCTGGGCTTGCTTTCTTATTGCTTGTTTGCTTACATGCCACTAAAGAACAAGTTCTTTATATAAATACATATTTTAAGGGGTAAAAATTTTGATTTCTTACAAACTGTAAAATGTTACTCAATCATGTTTTGCTATTGTTAAACTTGTGTAACTTTAATCATAATTATTGAATTTATAGCACATTTGTAGGTGTAAGAAGTGGGATTGGTTTTATCAAGTATCCAATATACAAGGGTGTTTAATGACAGCATCTTAAGTACTGGCCTTTCTTTCCCTGGTTATTAAACAGGTTTTTTGAATACTTACTGTATTGCTAGATTATTTTTCTAAATAATTTGCATGTTAATAGGATAGATACATAACTATTTCAACAGAAATTATCTATTATATTTTGTAAACATTTTTTTCCCCCTTTACTTATTTGTGGTCACGAAATACAATTTGTCAGCCTGTAGTCTATATTTACAAATGATATTTTAGTAAAATTTGACTAAACCGGTTTTCCCCACCCTCTTCATTTTATCTGTTGGATTTAAGGTTATCATATGGTATTTTTCTTTTTTTTTTTTTTTTCAACGAAAGGAAAAAAATAGTAGGCTACACATCTGGTACAGTTATAAAACGGTGCAATTAGTTTTGCTTGCTTTCTTCTTCTCCTTCTTTGGAATGAATATTTTTTTCTATTTAGCAGTAGCATCAACTGCTAATTTTGACCACGACACAAATTTACAAAGCATTGATTTTTGTCGTTGTCAACCTGGTATTGAAATAGACATGAGGATTTACTTTAATACTTAATACTTCAAGCTCCCTCTAACATCGCGTTGTAGATAGCAAGTATGCTTCGTATTCATCTTTTAAAACAGACCTAGCTGTAGTTGGCATGTTTTAAAGAGGTTCAATTCAGGCAAAACAAATGCTGAAATGCAAAACACCGTTCATTATTTGGAGTCCTGTGTGTGTTGCTGATGCCATTCCAGAAAGTTATGTAAGATTGTGTTTTTCCTTTTTGCTGACAGGTGATAAATCCAATGGGATGGGACGCATTTGGTTTACCAGCAGAAAATGCTGCAGTTGAACATGGGCTTCACCCTGCAAGCTGGACACAAAGGTGGTTTTTCATGAATTTAAGTAATATGGCATTTCCACTGTGAATACCTGTACTGTGGCCCCCATAAACCAACAAAACAGAGCAAAACCAGTGTAGAAGAAAGACAGTACAGAAAGAACGAGGGTTATTTGCCAATGTTTTATGGGACTCTGCTGATTATTCAGTTTTGAAAAAAAATATGTATCAGGAGGTTTTAATCTCTATGACTTTTAAATTGTAAAAAGGTATAATATTGGAAGAGTGACAGTTCCCAAACACCCAAATTGGTGAGCAAGAAATAAATCAGACTTTCATTATGGTGAGCTAAATCTTAGTATAGAATACACAGTTGAAAATTATGAACTATGTGGTTAGATTTACTAGCAGTTTTCAGTACCATGGAAAAGAGGAAGAAGATAGTTATTTCATTTGAGACTGGGTCTTGGAAAGTGATAAGCAGCCATTATTGCTGCTGATTTCTGTGAAAATTTTGGGCTTTAGGCCGCAGAATTGGGTGTTGTGTTCCCCTAATATTCTTTAAAGTAGAAAGTTACGTAAGTAAACATTAATTTCTATAAATGACTGAGAAACCGATCTTAAGTGAAGCAGTTTGTTGTGCTCTGGATGCAGTAATCTAGCTGTGGTATCTTTTTGGACTTTGATCCATTTCCTCCTTTGGTAATGCTGTTTCTTTTAAGTTTTTCTCATGCTTCTGGTCCCATGTTGAGATACTTGATACTTTTCCAACTAAAATACGATGGCAACTGATTTCACTTAGGGAGAAGACATGAGTGCACTACACACAAATTCTGAGTTAGTTATGCTAATTTTTTTAAAATTTCCTCCATGTATGGTTTAGATAAGAATATGCGTGAGAACCAGTTACCATCAAGACACAAAAACCTGGTTTTGTTCTTTGAGAGAGTCTGAAAAATCACTGTGCACAGTGTGTTGTGGGCTATCAGATATATTTTACCGTGGTCAGTAAATGGATGATTTCTGCCTTCCTTCAATAAGCCTACTGAAGCTCAGCTGTAAAACAAATCTATGTATCTGTTACATCCGAGTGCCTTGTTTTTATCTCCGTTATCTTGATGGAACCTTCAGCAGATAGAGCGTTACTGTGATCCTTGCCTACATGACAAATGAGGCACAGAGAAGTGATGGTTGTTGCTTTGAGATGACGAGGCTGACATTAAGTACTTGCTGACTACAAAAGGGTTAGTGTTCTCCCCTTCTCTCTACTACGTGGTCCCTCCTCACCTATTACACTAGCTTTCGCACTTCTAAGACATTGTGTTGAATTGACTTGGCTTGCCAGCTCAGAAGAAAGCCATTCTGCCATCTGCCTGAGTTGAATTGGCTCAGAAGAAAAGCACAGAGACTGTGCCATAGCAAAGAACTGAAACAGCTCAGCCTGTCTCATCTTAGCAGTTTGTCCAGGTCATATCAAAAAACTTGTGGCAGGGCACAGCCTGAGCTGTTTATCTTCTGCTACTTTCTGTGCTGTTTCTGTTTTCTTGTAAATAGGTGTGTATTGTTCCATACACTTAAAGCAGTTTAGCTAGTAGTTACAAGTACAAGATGTTTTATTCTGGAAGAAAATTTTGCTTTGAAAATTGCCTTAATACTGAAATGAGCGATTGTCTAGTTTTAAGAGCTAGATAACAATTTTATAACAACAAACTGAAAAAAGTTAGTGCATCACCATTGGGACTGATTATAACAACATCCAAATAGGAAAATTATTTACATACCCAATTGTTTTGTTGATGCTAAGGAAGGGATTTGGTTCATCATACAGGCAGTTTAAATTCTCACCACTGAAGTAATTGCTGTCTCCTGTTTTTCTCTGCTGTCACTGTCCTGAATGTTTCTCATGCTTGCAGCAGGGATGACTGAACTGAACATGATGCTGTGATTATGTGATGTGTTTTAGTCATCCCTGGTGCGGAGACAGCCAACCCTGTAAAAGGGGGCACGCAGTAGGCATTCCAGCTTACTTGTTTCAGGAGTGAGCAACCAAATTTCAGAGCATCCTGATTTTTCTGACAAAGGGATTTAAAATGAACTCCATTTGACTATTACTTCTTATGTTCTCAAAGTTAGGAAAAAAACATAAAACAAGTTGAAGACAGAGTTACTTACACAAAACACACAGAAATTTTTGTTAGTAAGAGTTAGTGTAGTGGCAGAAGCTTTGTGAAAATACACTCAAATTTGAAATTTTTTTTTATTGGTACAGTTCATTTTGAGTGGGACTTTAATATAAGCAGTACTACTGAAAATATGGTTTGTCCCAGTCTAAGCTGTGAGTCTGTAAGAGGATTTCCTAGTATACCCATACTGGGAAAGGTACCTTACCAGAAAAGGCAGGCTTTTTCTAGCGTAACTGGGGCTCTGCGACTGTTAGTAGTGGATACTTGCATTACTCAGTTATTCAGCAGTGCAAGTTCGTTCTGGATCAGAATTAAATGCTTAGTTTCATGACTGTCAGATTAGCCACTGAGGGAGGATGGATGATACTTTATCTGACGTAATGCATTTTAGTAGAAAGTTAAAAGTCCACAAAAAATTTTAAGCAATTTTAAAGTATGTGAATGCATTCACACCAGGTCACTAGTTAATATTGTGTAATTGTGGCTATTTTGGTAAACTGTATTTAGTACCTTTTCAAACTAAAGCTTCGCTGTATATTCTGATGTATCTTATTTTACATTTTTAATATAGTCCATCTGGGGCAAGGTCTAGCCCCTACAGTTTTGCAGTTGACTTAAGTTTATCTATAGCTGTGCTGCCACCAGAAGTTTAGGACTTCCTTGTCACCTCCCAGGATATATGTTCCCACCACCTCCTTTGTGTTGGCTCAGCTGTTTTTGTAGCCACCGTATTGGTTTGATCAGCCCGTTGATCAGAGGGAAGCAAGAAAACTTGTGGGGTTGTTTTGGAGAACTTTTCATAGGGCATGTCTTCAGTTGAATGGGTAAGTTGATTCAACTCATCCTATAGCCACATGATCACCAGAGCCAAAGCAAAATACAGCTAGGATAGCATTGCCAGAATAGAGCAGGATTAAACTGATGGTGAAAGTGTGTTCTGCTGCATCGTGAAGGTTTCAGAGGGTCCTTTGGCTCAACTGCAGTAAAGGTAATTAAAAATAATGAGAAGTGAGGCTTCAGGAACATTTCCCTCAAACTGCAGTGCCATATTTGCTTTTCAGTTATGCTCAAATCAAGAGAAGCAAAATTGTTGTCTTGTATACACAGCCATTGAAATTGAACCAGAATGCACGAGGAACTTTTAAAATTATTATTTGAGTATTCTGACAGTTCCTTGAGTTAGCTAGTGAGATAATAGTGTTTAGAGGTTAACTAGTGCTTTTGATTTCTCAGAACTTCATAAGCACCTGATTTTAAATATGATCACATGATAGAAATATTTTAAGTTAACTTTTTTTTATTTTGCAGTAATATTCAACACATGAGGGAACAGTTTGATGCACTAGGTCTGTCTTTTACATGGGAAAGGGTAAGATTTTCTTTTTTAAGGGGATGCTGCTTTATTTTATTGTATGATGGAACATTGAAAAATATGGAATTCCACCACTTTATTTATGACAATATAGAAGTATTTGAAAGTGACTGGTTTAAGTTATGAAACTGTAAAATTGAGCTTCTCTCAAGCTTTTTATCAGATTTCTCTCACTTTTGACATACTGATATCATCTGATAATCTCAAGGTTTAGGAGAATCTTTCTTTTCTTTAAAGTAATTTCAGTTTTGCATTTGGATTTTTCTCTCTGCTTTTTCAGCACTTTCAAAGTAGCAATTTTCTGTGTTAGAAATTAGGCAATAGTCTAAATAGATACTTATGAAACAGCATGCCTTTGTGTTAAGGTATATATGTTCTGAGGAGTTCTTTTTTCAATGTGTATGTTTTTATAATATACTCAAGGTTTTAAAGCTCGTAACTTGAAAAGGTGGTTTGGTATTTTATTCTAAATTTGAAGTATAAGCCTGCATTTTCATAGGTGTTGCTATCATGACCGTTTTGGAAAAGAGAAATTTATTTAAAACACTAATGCTTGAGAATCAGGTGTTCACTTTAAAAACCTTACCAAACACGATCAGACATAAGCTAATGTCATTTTCAAGATAAAAAAGAAATTAATTTTTGAAGCAATTGTGAGGTTATTGCATTTACCATTGAATCAAAGTCAGCCACTACCTTTATATTCTCAGCAATAACTGTTGCTTATCACCTTAATATGATTTTGAATAGAGTGATGGAGATGCTAATCTTGGATTTTTATAACAGTATTATATATCTGAAAAGGATTAGTTTTCAGGCAGTCTGAGACGTGCCATATGTTTTCTTCAATCTTGAAGGTGAAGTTGTTTATTTGTATGTCTTGCATCAAAAAAACCATATTTCGTCATGTCATATATATGGCAAGATTTTTCAGTGTAAGGCTTTTTAGTAAGATTTAGTTTTCTTGGTAGCCAAAAAGTTCCTCTGAAAAGAAAAGATATGTTGTGGAAGGTTCATTGCACATGTTCTTGACAATTATTTTCTTATATTTAAAACTGTTGGTATCTCAGAGATTTTCTGCATGTGTAAAACAGTGATACTTCAAAACAGTGAAATCATATGTGTAGGCTGTATTATGGAACACACAGGAGTTGAATGTTGCAGATTTGCCTTTAAAGAAAATTGAGAAAATTCACCTCTGTATATGGACTTTTGTTTAACCCTTCCGTTCTGAAGAAGAGATGAAGAACCAGCAGCACTGAAGACCATGGCAGGAAGTATAAGTACACAGGGAAAAGACATTCATCATCTCCGTGCCTGTTCTTTGAGGTTTACCTCCACTTTTCTAGTAAATCATGTTTTGGTTAATGACCTTTCAAGTCACTGAATACATGTGGAAAGGGCTTTGATTCTCTACAACTAAGTCCATTTGAACAGTTGTGTAATTGAAATACTTAAAAAGCTCTAGGGGCATACAGTTTGTGTTTTTT